ATGTTGGAACCTACTACAGGCCTATAGTTTGCTGGTAGAGATTAGATTCCCTGTGGGAACCTACTACAGGCCTAGTTTGCTGGTAGGGATTTGATTCCATGTTGGAACCTACTGCAGGCCTATAGTTTGATGGTAGGGATTAGATTCCCCGTGGGAACCTATTACAGGCCTAGTTTGCTGGTAGGATCAGATTCCATGTTGGAACCTACTACAGACCTAGTTTGCTGGTAGGGGTCAGATTCTATGTTGGAACATACAGGACGATTTTCCTCCGTTAAATAATTTATCATTCTGAACATAACCAAATTGGATTAAGAATATAAGCCCGGGGGTTCCAGGTACAGGAGTAGGACCATTCTGTACGTGCATCATTTTTTTTGTTGTGTGTGTTTCATTAAACGTTTTCTTTTCAAATGCTCCACAAGAATCTGAGGTGGTAGTGATATTTCGATATTGTGTACTTTTGATAACATTGTGTAAAATGTATCTGATATAAGGCCAAATTAAAAAATGAAAACGATGAGCTAAATATTTTTGATAAATTGTTTGATAAATCGTTTTGTTTCTTATGTTTTGTCAGATTAAAAAATGTTGCACAATGCAATAAAAGCAAACTTAAAATAAAATTCATTTTTAGAGTAATATCTTAGATTCTTTTGGACCCTTTAAATAGTAAAAACAAACCTGTAAATATTTAAATAGAGACCTTGACTTTAAATCATGATAACTTCATCAATTATCAATCAACATGATATACGTCATCTTTTTTACACCAGTTCTCTGTAGACTCTGTAGAGTGACTTTAAATCATGATAACATATATATAATTACTTTCTTTCCAACTAAAACATTGATAAAAGGACGTCTATCCTAAAGATTATCAAGTACTAACCCTAATTTGTCCTATATATGTTGAATCACTTTTGTTTTATTATCACTTTTATTTATATATCTATATAGTTTTTATAAAAAAAATGTTTAGTTCGACGCGATCATCTTGTAACAGATTCTTTAAAGGAAATCTCGGCCAAACAGAAGGATTTAAAGAAGAAATTGAAGGTACAATCTAATATTATTTATCTAAAAAAACTAAATTATTATTTTAATTTTAAACATTATGTTTACTTATGGTATTTACATTACATTATGGTATTTACATTTGACATTAAAAAGTTTTTACCTGTAAAGTTTCAGAGAAATATTATTGTCAAAAATACATTATTATTTTTTGATTAAAGGGATTGTAGATGTTATTTAAAGTTACCCTTCATGTATAGAATGGCATATTCGATTCACCACGATACCCTTCAGACCTATATTTCCAATTATCGAAGACGGAGATATCCATATTAAATTGACTAAAAATGAAGTGCCGGTACATTGTACTCTCTATACAAATTATGTCATTGGGTTTCCGAAGGCACTTAATTTTTTAAGCTAGAAAAATAAAGTTATCTCCATCAGTCTTGATTAGACAAATAAAGGGTCTCTTAAAATTACGCCTAGAGTCCCTTTAAGGATAGATTTTCTCCAAGTTTAAAAGTTCTGAACTGGGTTTTGTTCCAGGTTTCCTTCTCCGGAGAACCAGGTTTAGATATGGGAGGTTTAACTAAGGAATGGTTTCAACTTCTCATTAAACAAATATTTGACGCAGAATATGGAATGTTTGTTTATCATACGCATTCTAGGTAAATATACGCATTCTAGGATAACATACGCATTCTAGTAAACATACACATTCTAGTTAAACATACGTATTCCAGGTGACATCCGTATTCTAAGTAAACATACGCATTTTAGGTAAACATACACATTCCAGGTAACATCCGTATTCTAAGTAAACATACGCATTTTAGGTAAACATACGCATTCCAGGTAGCATACGAATTCTAGGTTACTAC